GTGGCTCTGTCGGATGAACAGATGAAATTTCCATGGCCGGAATGATATTCATAGACCTGTGGATTATCATTCGAGCCCCGTAACAACTAGACCACCGTCGCATGTTCAGCCACAGTGTCAGACTCGTACATTCACATTATGTGCTCCAGTTGCGGCCCCAATCTCGACCATGCTGCTCAGCTGATGTATTGAGTGCCCCCTCCTCTTTTTCTGGTGGTTCCACCATGGTGGTATGTAGGTTAAGGTACTCGGCTTCTAATCTGTAAGTCGCGAGATTGAATCTCTGCTGCGGCAGCTGCATTTTGCATGGAGGCGAGAATGTGGTATGCCCGTGTGCTCAAATTTGAGTGCGCGTTAATGACCGTCAGGTGGTCTAAATTTCAGGAGCCCAACACTATGGCGTTAAATCCCACATATCAATAATATCAATCTCTAATTGGTGGGTGGTGCACTGAGACTGCAAGACATCGAATTCACGGAAGCGGCTGACATCACTCCCGTTGTTACCAATTTCAGCAGATAGGGACCTATATAAGTCTTAGACTTTCGTACAAACGCCCTCTCTCTGGTAACCATGTGACTAAACCTGTGTTCTCTTTTATTCACGCACATTCCTCTCGGAAAACGATGTGTTAGGGTTCCATAGGTGGTTCATAAGACCTGTAGTCACACAGGTCTTATGGACCTGTGCGCGGGTCACACACGTTCACAAGGCCTGTGTGATTCAAGCCCTAACATGGCACTGACACTTGCAAAGAGTTATCGCACCATTCTGTTTTATTGGTGGATTTTGGCTAGATTTTGCCGCCGGCTTCGACATTGGTGACCGGCCTCGTTCACCGTGCATGTGTACGTATCTGTATATGTGAAAACGCAACAAAGGAACGCCATTCTCAAAAAGAGTTTGGTGTGAGGAATTGAATATCCGATCTCTTTCTTGTGAGTGCATGGCGTTTGCCACTAAGCTAATAGGGACGTGATATCCCAATGTACAAATGGCAAACTATTTTTAGTGGCGCGTTCTCCCTGGTGACACCGATCTCGGGAGAACTAAGATGTTTTTCAGCATTATCAGTGAGATGGCGAAAGAGTACATACATCACTAGATCTTCACGACGTGGTGACGAGCGCTGATGCGTTTATCTTTCCACGGGTACTTTGCCCCGGTGAAGGTGAGGGTGGGGTAGAAACTGACGCACTCACGCTCTTATCTCGCGGTGGGGAGAGTCGTACGCGTTGTGCTTTATCCTGAACAATAGAGTTGCAGTTGCCGGGCGCAAAAAGGTCACTGCACAGTCTTCATTTGCGAAAAAGCTGCGCTTCTCAGGCACAGCGAAGTAACAATTGAGACACCTAAACTAATTATTATGTATGTGTGAATCAGTTTTGTGCGCCATTTGTGCGTGGTCAAAGTGTGGCACATTTTGTTCTGCTTGCCATTGTTCATGTGAAATTCCAACTTCTTGCTATCGCATTCATTGCTACGCCTGTGTGGCAAAGCTGTGACTTCTTTCTCGAACTTTCATAGAAAGACTTGTAATAAGCACCTCCAGGGTAGCCACGACTATATGGCTGTATTCGTTACGGCACTCATAACTATAAGAAATTAAGAATTTCATTGTTAAAAGTGATATATTGTTATATCCTGTGCAGGTGTAAGTGCATTACACTCATTTTCTTCTCTTCCACATTCCACTCTCCAGCAATTCCATTCTTGTGAATTAAAGGTGGGTTTCCAACGCAGAACTACGTTCTAGTAGGGAGGACAAACAGCACTCCTGGTTTTGTTGGGAATTTAAACATAACCTTCTTTTCCACAAGTTTAAATACACCAAAATCCAGCCAGTATGACTAATATCAATAGAAGGATTTGTGCAAACGAATGTGCTACATCACTGTAACAATTCTGTGGCAGTGCTGCAAAGTATATGATAAAAGAGATGGAACATGTAGAGCAAACGCGGAAAAAGTGCCTTTCGCGTTGAACACGGCTCCTGCTGCGATAAAGAGTGTTCTTATAGAATCCCGTTTTTGCTTCCTCGCCAAAGAAAGCGACACGAAGTGTTGCATGAAGAAAAAGCTTGTTCGCTGCAGTGGTCGGGTTCCGACTTTCAGCCAATCAGCGGCCGAAGAGTGAGGCTGTCGTTTTCTTGTATCTTACTTATCGTTGCCCGCTCCTAAAGAAGAGGCACCGCGGAACTCCTGCTTCCACAACTCTTAAAGCCACGAACCAGAGAAGAAAGCTCTGCTTCTCTGCTATTATAAAAGCCTGTTCTTTCGTTCAGGCGTGTTAAGAATCTGTCTCTGTCTCTGCAGAAAGATCAAGGCACATGGATCGAGTACAATTGCTATCAGTTTAGCGGCTGTGTCGATTAGAAAAAAGGTACAATTTAAGCAGCTCGCCGAGAAGGCTTCGTATCGTGTTTTTGTAAATATCACGAGCTGACGCTGCGACATAATACGTCGAAAATCCTTTGTGCCTGCCCCACCACTGCAAGGTGAGCCGTTGCAATCACTTACTTTACTTCTAGAGTTGCATTTTCGTTTGAAGGTATCAAAGCGGCAAAATAAGGAACAAACAGCCTGTCAAAACTGTGTTTCAGTGTAAACACTAAAATTATATAATATTCACATATTAGGTCACAATAGGTCTGTTGATATATTTCACGTCACAGATGACACAATACGAGAGAACGCAGTATAAATATTGCAAAAAAATGACAAAGCTTTCACTAAGTCACAGATCAAATGAAAGTAGCTTCTGCTATTTCAGCATTGCGCAACACCACTTGTGGTATCGATAACGTATCTGCCTACTCTGCCAAACTTAATAAAGACAGTATTGTCCCGCCGTGGTGGTGTTGTGGCTAAAGTACTCGGCTGCTGACCCGCAGGTCGTGGGATCAAATCCCGGCTGTGGCAGCTGCAATTCCAATGGAGGCGGAAATGTTGTAGGCCCGTGTGCTCAGATTTTTGTGCCCAGTAAATAACCCCAGGTGGTAGTTATTTCCGAAGCCCTCCACTACGGCGTCTCTCATAATCATATGGTGTTTTTGGGACGTTAAACGCCACATATCAATCAATTGTTAAATGGAGAATTCCACCAGTGCTAGCACACTTGACAAATGTCACATTCACAACTGGCATGATTCCCACTAAGATGAAACTTGCTAAGCTTACTCCGCTGTACCAATCAAATGAAAAGACGGTAGAAAATTATCGACCAATCTCGGCACTTCAATTATTCAGTAAAGTTCCTGAAAAATGACTTGCATTCAGATGACAAGTTACTTAAAAAAATTTAATGGTCCTTCTCGTCATTAGTTTGGTTTCAGAAAAAAAATGCTCAAGAACAGCGATTTCAACGTTTGATGATAGCATTAGGAAAGCGACAGATTCCGGTTGGTTAATAGAAGTTTTTATTGACTGTGCAAAGGCGGTTGACTCATTAAATCATGCTATCTTTAAACGTAAACCTGATCAATTTGGCACTACGCGAACACCTCTAGAACTCCTCAGCAGGCACTTAAAAGAAAGCAGACAAGTCGTTCATATGGGCACACTCAAAATCTCTGCTAAGTTAGTTAATTGGGGTGCCACAGGACACCATACTGGGACCGCTACTTTTCCTCCTATTTGTAAATGATTTACTCTGACAACTAGACAAAGCAACTGCACGGCATAATGAGGATGACATTAAACTGCTGATTTCTAATTAGAACAAAACTTCGTTAAATACCAAAGTTACTGCTGAACTTTATAATCTTCACCGCTGGTACACAACTAAAGTGGTCACATTTTATCCTACAAAAACTGTATTAATCATTTTCACTTCGATATCTGGCAAATCATAGCACGCAATGACATTATTATAATAGCACCTAAAATTTTACTTACATGCTCGCAAGGTTGTACTGTGTCATTTATGTTTTGATGGTTTAATTACAATTACCATTTACTACTGAACTAATAAGTGTTACTTTATTTCTTGTATTCTGATATTATTACTATTTAGAGTCTTTTCAATGAAGTTGCTGTTAAGTGTTTTTCTGTTAAAATTTTGTTAGAGACCCTATACTAAATTTGCTGGGTGCCTAAATGTGTAAATACATGTGCCATTGAAACGACCAAATGAACATCAAACTTCAAAATTCAAAAAAATGTCACGCAAAGCTTCAAATACTAATTGGACACTTCCCTAGACTAATCTGGTTAGTTTTAGGTTGCTTCTAGGCGTTTGATATGTGACGGAGATTGTTTCTAGATTTGCCTATGCATTGTTTTAGCTAGGTGACCGTGATGCTCGGTTTTCGTTCCGTAGATTCTCAGTGCACACAGTTTTGAGTACCAGTTAAACCGCGTACAACAATAGACACAAGGCCGGACAAACTCTTCAAACAGAAACTTAAGCTCAAATCAAGCGTTTGCACTTATCGCAGATCTAAGAGTATGTCGTCACATGTGTAAGCCTTCCATCGCCTCGGGGTCTTCGGGCAGCTGCCGTTGCTTTTCCCGTTCCCAAGTGTTCTCTCACTGTACGTACGCGGGGTCTTCGGCTCGACGAAGGCACGGCGAAAGAGCAGCTGAGAAAGGGCGACATATTATTTAATGAACGAGTTGAAAACACATGCAATGGAATTCAATTATACTTATTAGAATTAAAGCTTTCAATCCTATAAATGCAACAAAGCAGTTTACAAGTGTGTTCAAGTCCGCTATTTCTAAAGCGAAATTTGATTTTACACCACTGCCCTGCCGCTGTAGATATTCCTGTGAGTTGTTCTCTTTAGCTTCTTAGTGAAAGCTCACGATTCTCTTGAAAACAAAACAAAAAGAATGCTTCACCATCAGACCAAGAAGCTCTAAACTTGTGTGTATGGTTAAGCTGGCTCTCATCGCCATGCTTTTCACCTGCCCCCTCCTCCTCAGCTTTTTTCAGCCTTCAGAATGATCATTTGTACCACAACGAGAATAGCTTCTTTTACCTCGCAGTGCTGGGTCATCAAGATCGGCTCAAAAATGACACGACATTCGCTGTCTTCATCGGCACTGACCGTTGCCCTATGGTTCACCACGGCGGTTGTCAGTGCCACTTGGGTATCCGCTTCATCCCTTGACAATACCGGAGGTGGTGTAGCCAGCTGCCGGCTGCAGGAGACCAGCATCCGCATCACGCGCGATCATAGCGACGATCAAGGAAGCCCCGTACGCACCTGTGAGGGCACTGTGCTCGTGAGTCGCTGCGAGGGCACCTGCGTGTCTCAGGTCCAGCCGTCCATCACGCTACCACATGGTTTTCTCAAGGTCAGTCCAGTGCATACGCAATGATCGTCTCAGGAACGTATAACACGAGAATGTGGAAGCATAGCCACCTGAATAGCATATAAACTTACGTGCTGCCTATGCAATCGTTTGAAACGACATAAAGGCGAAAGCGAGGTCTCAGATAGTGTACGGATCTTGCCTCCACCTCTGGAATCTTTTTTAACCCTAGCGCCGTATGAACGCGACAGCGTTGAAGAGATGGTTTCACACAGATTCCAGCACTAGTTTCAGCGTCAGCGTCATTATATGTGAGCAAAAACTCATTGTTGTGCATAAGGCGTTATTCGAGTTAGGCACACGTGCAAATAAAAAAAAGAAATCTTCGAGTTGGAATGCTTCCCAAAATTTCTGTGTGAAATTCGGGCTTCCAAATGCAAAGCTATGCCCGAACTAGAAACTGGCTCAAAAGAACACTCGATGTGAACTTCGTCTAGTGCGAGAAGTGTCATTAACACGTACAATATTGCATTGAAAGATGTTCATGCACTCGCACCATGCATCAAAACAATTACATTGTGGAACTAAATCTTAATTGATCGTCATCAGCATCAAAAAGATCAAGAAAATGTGCAGCTGCGAGGGTGTGTGTGCTGTATTACGCTCATGGGTTAGATAGTTTTCGATGGAGGAGAAATGGCAGAGACGATTATGTACTGTGCGATGGATTTTCACGTTCAATAATTAGCAAATACACAAAATTTTCGTAGCCCTCCACTACGGCCTCTCTCACACATATATAATGGTTTTGCGGCGTCCACCACCAGACAATATTATTATTTTATTATCATATTACTATACTATACTAATTTATACATTACATTATTATACATTATAATTATTATTTATCTATACATTACTAAATTGTGTGTAACATATTACCTGGTTGTTTTTTGTCAAAAAAAACCGAACACTCGTGGAGAAATCCAAATACAGTGAGTTGACAAATGACGCCTCGAAGCCCCCGGGAATTCACGGTTAGAGTAATGGTAAACGTGATGGCTTTAGTTTAAACTTCAATAAAGACATGTAGCACGCATTCATAACTTTCCGGTATAATTACACGTGTCCTACGTATTGCATGTTGCGCCTCCCTAATGTGCCGCCAGTGCTCCTCTATTTTTTTCAATGTAATCCGGATGCGCCCGATCCTGCCGTTCACTTCCCTCTCCTATAGCTCTTCTCTGTTCTCGCCCGTTGCCAAGCCTTCGTGTGTGCTTTGTGGCCATGGCAGAGAGACCCCGTTTTTGAGTGCCTCTCGGCGGGAATCATATTGCCACCAGCACGTAGTGGGTCGACCGCAAGAGCGGCTCTAAATGTGGAGGAAAAAAGAAGATCGCGTGTTTTTTCTCTGCTCGAGAGCCAGCCACGACTGACGCATCCTTCTAGAGCTAGCTGCTCGGTGGTTTAATAAATCGTCCTGTACTTGTGTCTCATCGTGACAAACTGGTGGAGTTGCTGGGTAGTCTCATGAATACTGCAGAACCCCCCCCCCTCCCCCAGGGAACCGTGATACGAGTCCAGAGCCAGTCAATACTCCCCTGCATCGGACGAGCCACTGAATCAGGGGATTCCCTGCGGAACTCGACGATACTGCTCCCACCACGTCGACAAATATGACAAGCGCTTCGGTGCAAACCTCATCACCCAGCACGGGAAGCACGACGTCGAACCGCTATACGCCGGAAAGCGCACGGGCACCGGTGACGTTCAATGGCACCGAGTGCGAGGACGTTGATGACTGGTTGGCGGACTTTAAGCCCGCAGCCACCTTAAATCCGTGGGACGACGCGGTGAAACTGGGTCGTGCCTATTTCTATCTCGAAGACGGGGCACGTACATGGTATAAAAATTGAGAGGAGCAGCTGGCGACGTGGCCGAAATTCTCTCGTAGGCATCTGCAGACCTATGCCAGTGCTGATTGCCGAGAACGAGCTGAACGAGCTATTCTGGCCCGCGTCCAGTTGCCAAATGAAACTGTGACCACGTACGTCGAAGACATGACGCGCCTCTTCCGACGGGCCGATTGAAGAATGATGGAGGACAAGAAGTTGCGTCACTTCATGCGTGGTGTCAAGGACTAGCTTTTTGCCGGCCTCGTGCGAAGCCCTCCGACGACGGTCGCGGAGTTCTTGTCCGAGGCCGTGACAATGAAAAAAATGCTGCAACAGCGATTCAACCAATACGACAGGCAAGTCAGTGGCATGTCCGCTGCCGACATTTTTACCGCCACTAGAACCAGCAACGACAGTCAACGTGAACTCATCCGTAATATAGTGAATGAAGAGTTGTAAAAGGCTGGTGTAACACCTCATCCTACGGTTAGCTCTATCGCAACTGTGAGCAAGGATGAGCTGCACCAGGCCCTTCGGGACACTTTGCCTCCTGATACAGCTGCGCCCGCTCCTGCTGAATACCGCCGTAAGACAACCTACGCGGAAACCTTGAAACGCTCGCTGCATCGCCGCCATTATTCGTTCATCAGGTTCCTGCTGTTACGCTTCAGTCAGCGCAGCACATACCATACCACGAAACCACGTACACACCACCGTCCCTAGTGCTTCTGTCGCCCATCGTTCGGTGCAACCAGTTCAGTACATCGACGATCGGCACACGTCTCCTCAGAAGTCTGATGTTTGGCACACACCTGATCGCCGGCCTCTGTGCTTTCACTGCGGAGAAGCTGATCACTTGTACCCCCGGTGCTTATATCGCCGTCTTGGGCTTCGCGGCTTCTCTGCGTACTCACCGCCACCCCGTTACGGCCATAGACCACAAGGATTCCAAAACTACCTCTCCCAGCAGCATGCACCACCATCGGCCGGACTCCAGTCTCGCTCGCCATCACCGAGGCGATTTTCATCAACGCCCCAGCGGTATTCTGCCACATGGTCTCCCAGCCCCCGCAGGAAAAACTTCCCGAAGCGACCTCTGGGGGCGGGGTCACTGAACGTCGAAGCGCTGAAGACCTCCTATTAACGCAGAACCGTACAGACACCGGTCTGACATCACCTGCTGCTGCAAAGGATAGCCGACTTTCACTCGACATAGCAGTGACAATTGATGGTTGTACAGTTCATGCGTTAATGGACACCGGTGCGGACTATTCCATACTGAGCAGTAAACTGACAACGAAGCTGAAGAAATTCATCACGCCGTGGCATAACTCGCAGATTCGGACAGCTGGTGGCCATGTCATTACTCCACTGGGCGCCTGCACAATTAGAGTACAGATTCAAGGGTATACATTCGTAGCAAGCTGCCTTAATTGTTCTACGCGAATGCTCCCATGACGTCATTCTGGGAGTTTACTTTTTACAGAAAAATGAAGCTATCATTAATCTGCTAGAGCGCCGCGTCATGTTCTCAGCCCAGCGAGCAATTAACGTGCAAGATGACGGAAGGCGTGTCGACGTACTCCATATTTCTGAACAGAGCGTGACGCTTCCTCAACGAGCAAGTGTTCTAGTCGACGTAACATGCTGCGGTGTGGGCGATGGTGATGTGGTGGCCAAAACGAATTTAGAACGTCTCCTGCAGCAAGGCATCCGTGTAGCTAGAAGTGTAATACGCCTTGGGGATGGCCGATCTGAATTGCCCGTAACTAACTTTAGCAACGAGCATCGACATATCTTCTGTGACACTTTGATAGCATTTGCCCACGAAGTAGCAAACGTCACCAACTGTCTCACGTGAGAACTAGTGGATACCGCAGACACGTCAATGAGTAATATGGGCATCAATCCTGATCTGTCCACCGATAACCAGACTGCGCAACGAGCGCTCCTGTTCGAGTTAAGGTCTTGCTTCTCAAGTTGCTCAAAGATCCGCCAGACGTCCATCACTCAACACAGGATCATCACGTACGAGGACGCACGCCCGATACACCAGAGCCCCTACCGCGTGTCGGCTAAAGAACGTGAAGCGATATGTACGCAAGTCAGCGAGATGCTTGACGATGGCGTTATTGAACCATCTAACAACCTGTGTTAATCTCCAGTCGTACTTGTCAAAAAAAGGACGGGTCGCTACGTTTCTGCGTCGACTACCGAAAGCTTAACAACGGTACCAAAAAGGATCCGCTGCCGCGTATCGACAATTCGCTGGATAGACTTCGTCGCGCCCAATATTTCACTTCTCTCAATATCTAAAGCGGGTACTGAAAATCGAGGTAGATCAGCGAGACCACGAGACGAGAAGACAGCCTTCGTGACTCCAGATGGCCTATACCAATTTCCAGTACTCCCTTTTGGCTTGTGTTCAGCGCCGGCAACTTTCCGGCGAATGATGGACACTGTCTTCACAGGGCTCAAGTGGCAGACTTGGCTTGTCTACATTGATGATGTGGTGTTCTTCACTGCCACGTTCGAGCAGCACCTTCACCGCCTGCGCAGCGTGCTGGAGGCTATCCGATCGGCGGACCTCACACTAAAGCCACAGAAGTGCCACTTCGGCTATAAAGAACTAAAATTTCTTGTGCATGTAGTTAGCGCCGCAGGAGTCTGACCCGGTCCGGACAAGCTTTCCGCTATTGCCGAGTTACCAGCTCCTGTCGATAAGAAAGCTGTCCGGCGCTTTCTTGGTTTGTGCGCCTTCTATCGCCGGTTCATTCATGGCTTTTCACACATAGCGAAACCTCTGACTCGTCTCACAAGGGACGACACGCCGTTTGTCTGGGAAAACGAGCAACAAGCAGCTTATGATCAGCTGCGACAGCGCATGCAATCAGCGCCCGTTCTCACTTCTTTCGACGATGATGCTGACACGGAGGTCCATACCAACGCTAGTAACATTGGGCTCGGTGCAGTGCTCGTTCAGCGTCAAGAGGACACCGAAAGAGTGATAGCCTACGCCAGCCGCTCTCTATCTCGTGCCGAGGCGAATTATTTCACTACGGAGAAAGAGTGCCTCGCAGTCGTATGGGCAATCACCAAGTTTCGCCCGTACCTTTATGGTCATCCCTTCAAGATAGTGACGGACCA